GACTCCGTACAGCAAAAGATACGTCTGAGGAAAGATATATTTGTTTCAAAATTATCTTTGTTTCCAAAGTAGGGTAAGTATCTTTCTGTATCTCTAAAATGAATAAACTTCAAATGTAAATTGATTTATAAAACTTGTCTGTTACATGTATCTGTCCAGATGAGAAGACAGGTTTGTTTATTTACACCTCTGAGGGAAGTAACACTGATCGTCGAGTCGGCGGAAAATCAGTCCAGCGTAGGAGCGGATAAGTCAATATTAGTCACAACGGCGCGGTCGTCGTTTCTGTTTGCCCAGATACACGACATAGATTTCGTGGTGCAGACAATCACCGAACTCCTCGCAAAATCTAAACTCATTTTAGTTATGTTTTACATTTTCTAACAAATATAAAAATGTAGATACAACAATACTAATTATAATCTCATTCCAGAACAAGAGATAACGTGTATTTTCCGAACTCCTCGGGCAGTAATGTCAGCAATTGCAAGGAAGTAAAGCTTGTGGAACAGTGGAAGTCGCAATCGCCGTTGATGATATTCAAGGCCCCGAAGCCGCGTTGAAGCAAGAGGGTAAGAAAAAGCAGTGGGAGCTCACATATTTTCTGTTGTTATATCTTTCAGCACATGGAAAGGATGGGACGGGTAAAACGGAATATACCTGAACCTGAAACAAATATAGCTGGATATAAGTATTGTATGGCAATGTTATCGTTTCTACATGATGAAAAAGAAAATTTAGATAAAACCAAGTGAGACATTATTATTATTATATTATTTTTATTATTATTATTGTATTTTTTTTTAACTTAAAATTAATTTTTTTTATAAAATAGAATAATTTAATTATAGATATAATTGACATAAATAATTATATATACATTCATATATATATATATATTATAAAAAAAGATTAGCAAAATATAATTTTTTGATTTACAGAATAATGCAGATGACGTTAATTCATGATTTTGCCGAATGTATTGTGGAAGACATAACAATCTGATAGTGGCAT